AAAATTGGTTCTGAAGAACCTAGGGGCAGGACAGGAATAAAGATGCAGACGTAGTGAATGGACTTGAGGACACGGGGAGGGGGAAGGGTAAGCTGGGATGAGGTGAGAGAGTGGCATGGACATATATACACTAGCAAATGTAAAATAGATAGCTAGTGGGAAGCAGCCACATAGCACAGAGAGATCAGCTCAGTGCTTTGTGATCACCTAGAGGGGTGGGATAGGGAGGGTGGGAGGGAGACACAAGAGGGAGGGGATATGGGGATATATGTATAGCTGATTCATTTTGTTATAAAGCAGAAACTAACACACCATTGTAAAGCAATTATACTCCAATAAAGATGTTTTTAAAAAATTTATGTCAAAAATATGTCCTTCATTAAGAAAAAATAGAATTTATGTCAGAGAAATAAAAATTATATCTAACTTTCTTTAAACTCAAGATACTGTTCTAAATAAGCAATTTACATAGATGTTCTCATTTACTTTCACTGTATTAGTGCTTAGAGTGCAGACAGAATACTGACATGTAAACTACATGATTATATGTTAACCAGTTTCTTCAAGAAACTGGTCCTGAATGGATATAATCTTAAGACCTGTTAAGAGGAGGGATTGGTCTCCCGGGAGGATACTGACATAGAGGGTTTTCTGAAGTACTCAAGGTTCAGGCCTTTCGAGCCGGTTAGGATGGAGATTGTTCAGAACTGGCCAGGTGCAGAGGCCCCGTGGGAAAGGTGTGGTGACGCCCTGATGTTCTTGTGGTTTTTGCACTGACTTCTTGACTTAGCAAAGTTCCTTCTGCCCAGGACAGGCAGGAGACCCAGGAGCACCTTTGAAGACAGAGCCACTTTCCCACCAGAGAGTCTGGCGCACGTTGTGAGTTGGCTGCTTGGCCTGGACACTGTCTGTCTCTACAGAGACAGAGCAACGTTTTACCGAGGCGAAGGTAGAGTTACCTTGTCTCTGGGAATGGAGTGCCTGGAGAGGTTAATAAAAAGGTCATGATCTGAGGGAAGCACAGAACAGATATCCTTATCCAGCTTCCCAGATGGCTGTGCAGTTCTCGTCCCTGCGGAAAAGTACAAGTTTAAAAAAGAAAAAGAAGAAAAAAACCAAAAGACCACATTCCAGTGTGATATATTTCCGTTTCTCTCTCCAAGTATTTTACTAGTGATTTTGTCAAATATCAACTCTGCAGAACTGGGCAGACAAAAAAGACAGGAAATTGTCATAACTCTTGCATTAACCCCAATTCAGAAGAGGAAGAAAAATAACTTTGGTGATGGATTTAGAAATCTGACAGTGGAAGTGTCTTTCAGAGGTGCAACACACATTCCTTAGAACTTAGAACAGGCTCACAGAGATAGCAGAAAATGCACAGAGCTAGAAGGTGACGATTCCAATAAACCACATGGGCTGCCAGCTTCAGGTGCCCCTTCATTTAGACACAGGTCCATCCTGGGGTTGGGGGCCAGGTGAGATCAGGCAAACATGCGACCTTGTAAAATCAGGAGTGAGCACAGAGTGTGGAAAAAGACTGTTCCACCTCCTGCTAAGGCAGAAAGTATGACTTCCAGTGTCTGCTGCAACTCCTTAAGTCCAACCTAGCTTTCCAAAACCATTTCCCGCCCCATTTGTAACTTATTTCTTATGCTGGGTGGTAACATGGGTGTTCCATGGGTGTTCCCATTATTTTCCATTCTTTTTTATTGGCCTGAAATCTGTCACAATAAAAACAACTGGCACAAGAGAGGGACTTCATGAAAACAGAAAAAATGTGTCCAAGGAAGGAGCAAAAATTAGTAAGAAGCACAGTGCTGGCAAGAGAGACTCAAACTTTAAAAGTCCTCTAAATTAGAAGACCTGAAATTTGAATTCCCAAAGTACCTGGCCTCGGGGAATTCCAGCTGGAGACCATATTCCTGGGTCTGATGGGTTCTGGTTAACCTTACGCTGGCTGTCGTCCAAACTCACCACTACCTAATCCTCATCCACTCCCCAACGCCCGCTTCATTTTTACACACACACACACACACACACACACACACACACACCCTTCACCTCCAGACCCCAGCCAGTGCACCCTCCCCAGTAGATTCACCATCCTCCTTCCCTCTCCCCCCTCCCCCTCCCTTCCTCTCCCTCTCCGGCTCCCTCGCCAGCCGCCGCGCTCACCGCAGCTCGGGGCTCAGCACCGCAATGTACTCCGCGCAGCGGCCCAGGAAGATGCTCTGCAGGTGCGGGATGGTGCCTTGCCCGCTCCAGCGCGCGTCCGCAGCGCCTGCAGCACCCACGGCCGGCGCCAGCAGCAGGATCAGCAGCAGCGCCGGCAGCGGCCGCCGGGACCGCGCGCACCCCCGGGCTTCCATCGCAGTCACTTTGGGGGTGCTTCCCGGACTCGCCTCCTCCCGTCGCGCTGAGGTGGCTCCCCGAGCCCTAACGGAACCCGCGCTCACTTGCTGTTTCTCTTTCTGCTTCAGCTCCGGAACTGAGTTGGGACGTTACTGGGGGCAGGACTATTGCCCTCGGCTAATCTCGGCCGGAGTCCACGAGGTGGGAGGCCCAAAGAAGAAGCAAGGTTGGAGAAGGGGTGAGGCGAGTTCGGTCCCCCGAAGGAAGATTTTTCTGGCTTCAAACTATGACAACTTTCACAGACACCCTCTTTCTCACTGGCTAATGATGAGTGGACGGTGTTTGTTTTCAGGAAATAATAACCACAAAATCTAATATTTATTGAGCTGTTACTATGTGCCAACCACTTTACAAGCATAATCTTCATTGCCTTTTCACAATATCCCTCCAAGCTAGGTTTATCACTCCCATTTACAGGTGAGTGAATTCAGGGAAGTTAAGTGGCTTGTCTGAGGTCACAATCTCCCTTCCAGATAGATGCAAAATTCCAGAGACAATCAGTGTAGGGATTTGAGATTAACAGAACTCACTGGAGGGCCAAGTCCTCAATTCCTATGGTAATGATAGCTATGTGCCTGGCAGACGTGATAAATGTGGGAGGCCCGTGAGAGGTAGGGTGGAGGGTTCTGGAATATTTTATTTTAATCTCTCTTTTCTATTTTTAAAGTTTATAACCCAAATTCTCATTGTCCTGTCCAGCCCCTCCCTAACTCGAGTCCACTTTCCAGAAATAAGCATTTTAAATTATTTCAACAGGTTTTTTGTTTTTGTTTTACTGGCATTTACTTCCACGTTTCCAAATAATATGCCTGTATGCTGTTTCTTGATGTTTCCATTTTGGATAGTATTCTATGACTTCCCACCACGTCATAGGAAATTCTATCTTTAACCCCACACATCCTCAAAAGGCATCCTTCTGCACCCTTCATTGTCCAAGTCTTTTTATCAAAAGCTTTAACTCAGTAATCAGCATTTATGTTATTATGACTTGTGAATATTATTCATGGCTGAGTTGTAGTATTCTAGGATTCTGTTTCCTTTCTTGTGAACTTCGTGCTTACCCTAGAGGTAATAATAGTCTCCCTCCCACCATCCCCAACCACTGGCTTATTTGTTTGTTTGTGATATTATATGTACACTTATGATTATGGTCAAATTCTCTACAAGGCATGTAAATCTTTCAGTGCATTTAAAAGCATCAGTCAATATTTCAGGTGGTGTGTGTGATTTCTTTCTCTCTCTCTCTTTTCTTTCTGTTTCTTGGAAACACCCTTTTTTGTCCAGTTTACTGTCCCAGTCTGAGCTTACTGCTCTCAACTTGCTGCATAGCTGTCTTGCAGTGGCCAAGGAAGATGGCTGTTCTTGTCTCTCCTGGATTGATGCCCTGTTTCCTAGATCCCATGTCTAGAGCACACCTTCCAATAGCTTCTTGAGAAGATGCCATAGGGGCTAAAATTTTTGACTTCTGCATAATAATGTAAAATGTCATTATTCTACCCTCATGCTTGATTGAGAGTTTGGTTAGAGAGAATTTTAAGTTGCAAATCATTTTCCCTCAAAATTTTGAAGGCAGTGCTCCACTGTTCTCTGATTTCTATGTTACTATTGAAAAATCTAGAGCCCTTTTCCTAATCCTGTTTATTTGACCTTCTCTCTGGAAGTTTTTAAGATAAATCTCAAGAGCATGAAATTTCCGAGATGAACTTGAGAGCAAGTAATTTCCATTCATTGTGCTGACAGCTCTAGGAAGGATGTTTCCAAGAAACAAAAAAAAGAGAGAGAGAGAGACAGAGGGAAAGAAATCACACACACACCACCTGAAGTATTGACTGATGCTTTTGAATGCATTGTGAGATTTATATGTCTTGCAGAGAATTTAACCATAATCATAAATGTATGTAGAATACCAATCAAACAAATAAGCTGGGGGGAGGGGGAGGGAGACAATTACTACCTCTAGTTAAGCAAGTTTATAAGAAAAAAATATATATAGTCATATAATTCTCTAAGCTCAGCCATGAATAATATTCACAAGTCATAATAAAGTAAATGCTGATTATGAAACAGGAGGGAAGGAGGCAGGGCACAACCTTTGAACAATGACATAGCCAGAGGACGAGACATAAACTGATTAGAACCAAATGGGTCCAAGATGGCAGATAAGTCAAATTCCACTAGACCCTGAGCCTCAGTATATGCTCACTGTAACACATCAGCAAGCTAAATGACACACCTACAGGTGCCATGACAGTTCCAAGGCCAACCATAAGGATCAAAAAGTGGGCGGTGGCCCAATTCCTGGAAATCACCACCCCTTCCTGAACCAGATGGAATACTCCTCCCACTCATTAGCCTATGAAATTACCCACCCCTATAAAAACTGACAACCTCATACCTTGGTGCCTTTCTCACCTTCTGAGATGGTCCACACTCTGTCTGTGGAGTGTGTTTTGCTCTAAATAAATCTGCTTCTTACCTATCACTCTGTGTCTCACTGAATTCTTTCCACGCTGAGACACAAAGAACATGAGCCTCAGTAAGTCCAGACACCAGGTGAGTGATTCTAATTAAAACACCATGAGTTCGAGTCCCAAGCAGGGTTTTGGCCATGTTCAAGTCCCGGCCGCATGGGTTCAAGTCGCAATCTGAGGTGCAATTACTGCTTTAACATTTATATGCAGAAAACAGAAAGAATAAAACAACTCAAAAATAAGAAAAACAAGCCAAATTTTTAAATGGTATCTGCTTTTAAAATAGTTGAGCAGATACCTCACCAAAAAAGACATTCCACTACTAGGTATGTACCAAAGAGAAAATGAAAATATGCCTGCCCAAAGATTTATACATGAAATGTTCACAGCAGCTTAATTCATAGTAACCCCTAAACAATACAAATACCCAACAAGAGAAGAATAAACAAATTGTGATATAGGCTACAATAAAATACTACTAAGCAGTGCAAAGGAATGAACTACTGATACACTGAAGAATGTAAAAAAAATGTATATGCTAAATGAAAGAAGCTAGATATAAAATAATACACACTTTATTATTCTCCTTACATGAAGTTCTAGAAGGAATAGGATGCTGATATACAGAATTGGGGGATAAGAGATTTCGGATGGAACCAATTGCCTGAGCAAATACAGAATAATGGGAAAGCATGGGGCTTCTCCTGAAAAAAGGTAAAATTTTATTTTGACTGATAAATAGTGTACAGGTTGAGACGTGACAAAATAAGTTAGGGTCATACCTTTTTTTTTTTTTCCACACCTAGCAGCTTGCAGGATCTGAGTCCCCTGACACAGGATTGAACCCATACCATCGGCAGTGAAAGCACGAAGTCCTAACCAGTGAACCTCCAGGGAATTCCTAGGGTCATATATTGTTTTTTCTTTTTCTTTTTTTTACCATCTTTATTGGAGTATAATTGCTTTACAATGGTGTGTTAGTTTCTGCTTTATAACAAAGTGAATCAGCTATACATATACATATATCCCCATATCTCCTCCCTCTTCCATCTCCCTCCCACCTTCTCTATCCCCCTCCCCATATATTATATCCTAAAGACCTTGGACACAATAATAGTTTGAACTTTGTGCTCTTTTTCTTTTTTTTTGAATTTTATTTTATATATTTTTTTATACAGCAGGTACTTATTAGTTATCCATTTTATACATATTAGTGTATACATGTCAATCCCAATCTTGGCAATTCATCATACCACCACCCCCTCCCCCCGCCACTTTCCCCCCTTGGTGTCCATACATTGGTTCTCTACATCTGTGTCACTATTTCTGCCCTGAAAACCAGTTCATCTGTACCATTTTTCTAGGTTCCACATATATGTGTTAATATTCAATATTTGTTTTTCTCTTTCTGACTTACTTCACTCTCTATGACAGTCTCTGGAAATATCCACGTCTCTACAAATGACCCAGTTTCGTTCCTTTTTATGGCTGAGTAATATTCAATTGTACCTGTGTATCACATCTCCTTTATCCATTCATCTGTTGATGGGCATTTTGGTTGCTTCCATGACCTGGCTACTGTAAATAGTGCTACAATGAATATTGGGGTGCACATGTCTTTTTGAATTATGGTTTTCTCTGGGTATATGCCCAGTAGTGGGATTGCTGGGTCATATGGTAATTCTATTTTTAGTTCTTTAAGGACTCTCCATACTGTTCCATAGTGGCTGTATCAATTCACATTCCCACTAACAGTGCAAGAGGGTTCCCTTTTCTTCACACCCACTCCAGCATTTGTTTCTAGATTTTCTTATGATGGCCAATCTAACTGGTGTGAGGTGATACCTCATTGTAGTTTTGATTTGCATTTCTCTAATAATTAGTGATGTTTAGCAGCTTTTCATGTGCATTTTGGCCATCTGTATCTCTTCTTTGGAGAAATGTCTATTTAGGTCTTCTGTGCATTTTTTTGATTGGGTTGTTTGTTTAGTATTGAGCTGCATGAGCTGTTTATATATTTTGGATATTAATCCTTTGTCCGTTGATTCGTTTGCCAATATTTTCTCCCATTCTGAGGGTTGTGTTTTCGTCTTGTTTGTAGTTTCTTTTGCTTTGCAAAAGCTTTTAAGTTTCATTAGGTCCCATTTGTTTATTTTTGATATTATTTCCATTACTCTAGGAGGTTGATCAAAAAACCATCTTGCTGTGATATATGTCAGAGTGTGTTCTTCCTATGTTTTCCTCTAGGAGTTTTATAGTGTACAGTCTTACATTTAGGTCTCTAATCCATTTTGAGTTTATTTTTGTGTATGGTGTTAGGGAATGTTCTAATTTCATTCTTTTACATGTAGCTGTCCAGTTTTCTCAGCACAATTTATTGAAGAGGCTGGCTTTTGTCCATTGTATATCCTCGCCTCCCTTGTCATAGCTAAGTTGACCATAGGTGCATGGGTTTATTTCTGGGCTTTCTATCCTGTTCCATCGAT